TGGGGTGAGGGCTTCAATGTAAGAATCTGGGGGGGGTGGCATACAACTTGCGCTAGGGTCATCCTTCCTCACTCTTCCAAATACACCTTCCCTAGAGCTCTATCCATCCTTCTCAGGCGGAAAAATATCTTTGTCTTCTCTGGATGTCGCTTCCATGAGAAGGGTGACATCTGGGCTCAGTTGAGGGAGCCCAGTGGGGATTCTGAAAATCAGTGATGTGATAACTGAATTCAGAAGGTCAGAATATAAAGTAGCATCTATACTAGGGCCACAAACCCATAGTTAAGTTCTAACCTAAAGACCATGAAAAAGAGTGATGACTTTTAAGGAAGGAAATCCCATGATTGCATTCATATATTTAGTAAAATCAATCCAGCTGCAACATGGAGAATGGCTAGAAGTAACCCTGGGGGAAGATCAATTCAGAGTTGCAGCAATTACTCAGGACACAACAGTGACCTGGACTGGAGTTTTCCCCATGTGAATTGAGAAAAGTGCAAGGGTTCCAGATAGATTTATCTATCTCTGAGATAGATAAATAAATCTAGAGATTGATTCAGTAGTTATCTGGTGGTTGCATGAATGAGAAAGGAGATGAAAAAAAATGTAAGAACCACCCAATCGTAGGCTCACAGAAAGTAACTGACAACTAAGAAATTTTCACCTAGCCTACAAAACATCTTTGAGTAACAGCTGACCAGTTTCTAAGAAAACTTTGAACTTAGTGTTTCCAAGAAGAGGATTTCATATGGAGAACTCTTAATCACCCTATCCACAAAGAATAAAGGCAGGCTCACAGGCAGAAAATGTCATAAATTAAACAGCCAGGCATTGACAGTATTAAAAATAATCTGACTCCTGCTCCTAAATTGTTCTTGGTTACAAAGGCCATTGTTTGAGTGAAAAAAGATGGTAAGGAATTGATAAGAGCTCAGATTGGAGACCTGTATGTGAATGAAAGATTTGAAGACTTTAAGCACAAGTTTTTTTGCCTGCTGCAAAAGACACAGGGTCCACCTGAGAGGCTCAAAATTATGAATGGAAAGAAAGCCAGTATTCAGCAGCTGCTCGTTATGTGTACCCTGAAAATGACCTTGCTTCTCAGCAAAAGTCTCTTACTGCTTGATGAATGAAAAATTCAACTCTGAAGACAATAAACTGATGGCATTTGAGGAGGACTTAGGTGTCTCCAGTTTCCTCCACTAGACACCTGGTCCCACTGTTCTTTTCTCTCAGCAAGCACTGACTACAGGCAGACTGAGGCCACTCTAATTTGTGACAATTCCTTAAAAAAGAGAAGTATTCAAGAATGGAATCTGAGCATTAAGTATTTTCCACAGTTTCTATTACTACTATTTCTGTTGTTGGCACTCTGCTGAACTTGAGATGACTGCTATGGTTTAGATGTGATTTGGGTATGTCCCCAAGCATTCACATATGGGAGGCTTTAAGGGGTGGGACTTAGTGGGAGGTCCTTAAGTGACTAGGCGTATGCCCTTGGGAAGGATTAACATAGTTCCTGGGACTCTTTTTGGAAGAGGGTGGTTGGAAAGAACAAACCTGGTCACATACTTGCCTCGTTGGCTTCCTCTTTGGTCATATGCTTCTACCTCTGGCTTTCCTTCCACCATGAGTCCTAACCAGAGCCAAGCTGATGCTAGTTCCATGCACTGGGAACCTCAAGCACTGTGGGCTAAACAAACCTCTTTTCTTTTCTTTTCTTTACATTTACCTCAAGTATTTCCTTATAGAAACAAAAAACTAATACAGTGACCCTCCTTGCATTAATGAGCTATTAGATGGACCTATGGACAGGATTCAGCCAATTCAACAGGAAGGTTACAGTTGACTGGAGCAACCATGAAAGCCAGCCAAGTCAAGGCCAAATAAAGAAAGCTAGGAAAAATAGAATAGTAGCTCTCTAAATGCAAACCTGAGAGGCTTGATGCCAAAGACCTGCACTACAAAGAGAAAACAACCTTAGCCATTAGAAAAGAGCCTCAAACTGGACCAGGAGGCAAACACGGAACTGAAAAAGGAACAGAGATGCTTAGAGGAAACTCCCTTTATATAATAAAGTTATATTCTCTGTTCTACCGGAGGTTAGATCGCACTGGAATGTTCCCTAATCTATGACAGATTGCACTGTATTGTACAATGAAACATTGTTTTGAAGTTAATCTCCTCCACTCCATAAAAATGACATTTTATGGCTTGTCTTGCTAATTTTTCACCCATTTAGATTCTGTCTGACAGAGAAAGTTGACACTGTTAAATAGTATTAAGTTCTCTGAGTGCCCTTGGCTTATGAGAAAACATTCAACTGCTGTTATAGAAATTAATCCAAGTTAAATATTGGGAACACAAACATTGTGAGTGTGTGTCTTTTGTCTTTCCATTATCTAGAAAAACAGAAATAAATTTGGTTCCATCAAAAGACAAAAAAAAAAAAAAAAACCTCTGTACTCTGGGGTTATTATACTGACTTAAAAAGGCGTGCTATTTCATAATGCCCTGGATAATGAATTTACTAAATATAGGAGGAAAAAACTACAAAGACCCAAAGGCTGCTCAACAGCCACTTCCCATTTTTCAGATTTTGGTGACAACAGTGGAATAAATTACTCAGCCTTTGCCTGTAGATCCATCACCTTCCACCTTGTGCACAGAATAGATGTGTAGTCACTGACTGGTGAGAGGAAGTACTCTCATTTTGTTCTCCCTTCTTTGGAATTGCTGATGCTATTTTTGCATAAGACTTCACAAGTTCCTAAATCATGAAAACAGGCACTAAAAATACTTTTTAAACTTAATTTTTAGAGACCAGGAACTTGGCAATGTGATGTCATAGAAGTTTGAGATCTGCAGTCATTTGGTCTGAGTTTAAGTCCCATTTTGGCTCTTCTTAGCCAACCAACTGGCAAGTCACTTGGAGTTCCCACTTCTATAGCCATAGAGAAAGTGGCACTGCCCACCTCAGAGTTAACTAAGGATCACATTAAGTGAAAAGTGACATAGAAAGAGCTCTGCAGGGGATGGTCTACCACCTTTGGCTCACCTTCTGGTATTTGTTCAGTCTCAGAAACTTAGCCAGCATTGACAATCAATAGGAGTGAGGGTATTCCAGCCTCAAACTCATGTCTGTCACAATACTGTCACCACTTTTCCTGTGAGAAAGCCCTTCTTGCTCTCCCATGTGCATACTTGTTATCCTTTACTAGTGGAGGGGGTATGATATGGAGAAACTACTACAGTAGTTCCTAAACTTCACCGCACATTGTAATCTCCTGGGGAGTGTTTAAACAGCCCAGAGCTAATTAAGTAGAATGACTTGATTGATGGGGGTCTGGCATCAGTATCTTTCAAAGGTGATTCCACTATACAGCGACATTTAGGAACCAAACCCCCATCTATAGTTTTTAAAATATATCCAACTTCAAAATGAGAACCAATATCCAGAACACCAAATCAGGAGCCCCATAACTTCCTCCATATGCCTGGTAGCCACCTACCCTAGTTCTTGCATTCAACTGAGAATTGTGAATCATGAGGTTCCCAGCTGTGAATCCAGGGGCCAGGTAAGCCAAGGGCTAGGAAGAGCAGATAACACCCCTCCCTGAACTTAGTAATCAATAAAAATAACATAAAAAGGAATTCCAAGATCATATAAAATTGGACAATTCTAGGTTCACCAAAGATCATATTTCTTCACTGTTGAATCTCGGACCCTTTGGGTCAAAGTGGGATTATGGATCTACTGGAGAGAACCACAGCTGAATTTCTCCCATGGAAACCTTCATTCCTCAGAGCATCTCAAGAACTAGTGTTCTAAGGAATATACTTTAAGAACCCTATAGCAGTGTTGGGATTTTTTTCCCCCAGAGAACACTCAACAATGTCTGGAGACATATTTTGGTTGTCATAGCTGGAGGTTAGCTGGCAATTACTGGCACCTAGTAAGTAGACACCAGGGATTCTAGAAAACACAATACACAGGACAGTCCCCACCAGAGAGTTATCCTGCCCCAAATGTCGATAAAGGCATCATTGAAAAGGACTGTCTTACAGTGACCTCTTCTCCTGATACCTCCTTCCACCCTGTAGTCTTAAAAGTAGGAGTAATGACAAGGACAATAGAAAAAAAGATGAAGAGGAAAAGAGGAAAAAGGAGGAAATGAAAAACAGAGATGAGTAAGGAAAAGACTGGGAGAAAAGGAGAAAAGAAACAGAAGCCAGATTCATATTGTCAAAAATTGGAAGCCACCTTCTGTCTTTCAGAAGGTGAATGGGTAAAGAGCATTCAGACAATTGAATAGTACTCAACACTGAAAAGAAACTGGCTATTTATCTATGAAAAGACATGGAAGAACCTTAAAATGTACATCCAAGTGCAAGAACACAATCCGAAAAGACTACATACTGCAAGAGTCTAACTATATGACATTTGGAGAAGGCAAAACTATGAAGAGTAAAAATGTCAGTGATTGCCAAGGTTCGGAAGGAGGGATGAATAACACAGAGGTTTGTAAGGCAGTGAAACCATTCTATGTGATACTACAGTGGTGGATCACGGCATACATTTGTCCCAACTTAATGTACACCACCAAAAGTGGCCCCTAAGATAAGAATGGACTTATCTTAGGTGACATGACAGTATAGGTTCATGGGTTTTTACAAACCTACTACTCTGGTGAGGGATGTTGGTAGTGGGGGAGGGTGTGCATGAGTAGGGAGGGGCGAGGGGTAAAGAGGAGCTCAGTGGTACTACCAACCTAAAATTGTGAAGTCCATTCTTTTTTTCAACAAGAAAAGAGGCTAAAGCCACATGCTGGTGCTGGATGCCTCCAGCATCCTCAGTCTTTATTGACTCTCTGTGTTAGCAGGGCTATTCACTAGGCACACAGTGGTTGGCAAAGGCAAGGTAGACAAGAGAAGACAGGGCTTTGTCTCTGGCCAGGTGTTCTGTGCCCCAACTCGGTGCCCCTATCCGTGCTTAGGCCTCAGACTCTGCTGGGCTTTTTGGGCTCCTTGTTTTTGGAGGGCATGAAGGCGTACAGCTCCTCAATGAGCATCTCCATGCGGGCGGTGACCTCGGTCACCGTGTCGATGACCAGCCGCTGCTGCAGCTTCAGTTTGTTGTTCTCCCACAGAGCCTTGTTCTCCTCCTGGAAGATGCGGTGCTCCTCCCGCAGCACGTGCAGGGCCCTGTTCTCCTCCTGCAGGAGCCGGTTCTCTTCCCGCAGGGCCTGCAGGGCCTGACTCATCTCTCTGAGCAGCTGCAAGGGATGCCCACCATCTGCCAGGCCCGCGCCCACCTTGCCCTCCTCCTCCCCGGAGGCCCCGGACAGGTTGCTGACCATCTCCCGCAGGGCACGCAGCGTCTTGCAGTCGTCCTGCGCGGTAGAGGAGCCTTTGAGCTCCTCGAAGGGAGAGGAGAGGCTTGGACCCTGGTCTGCCAGCAGCCCAGGGCTGTGGGGCTCCTCGTGGGAAGAGGGAGTGGGCTTGGTGTCCTCCCCGGCGGCCACCTTGTCCTCGGCCTGGGCCCAGTAGGCCTGCCTGTGCTCCAGCAGCTGCTGCAGGGCTCGGTTCTCCTCCCGGAGTTGCTGGAGGGTGTTCTCCTTGCTGCGCTGCACTGGCAGGGCTGTGATGTCCTTCTTCACCACCTCTTGGGACGTGGTGTCCTTGTGCAGCAGTGGCGAGGAGGCCCGGCTGTCCTGGCGGCCCAGCATGGCCTTGTGCTCCTCCCACAGCACCTGCAGGATCTTGTTCTCCTTGCGCAGGGCCCTGTTCTCCTCCCGCAGGGCCCTGTTCTCGTCGCGCAGAGACTTGTTCTCCTCCTGCAGCAGGTACTCCTTGGCCAGCCTCTTGTGGTGCAGCTTGTGGTGGAAAGAGGACGAGGGGGAGAAGTAAGGGGACTGCAGGCGGCAGTTCTCGTTCACCCACCGCCCGTCCTGGAACACGAACATCTCGTCGCTGAGCTGCACCCGGGGAGGGTTGTAATCCAGCTCCAGGTCGGCCTGGGAGGTGGGGCGATCCATGGACTCCAAGGGCACGGAGGAGAAGCGGTTGAGTGGGTAGGAGTGCTGGCTGGCGACCCTGCGGCTCATTCGGGGCAAGGTGGCCTGCCGGGAGCAGCGAGGGGTGGTGTATAGGTTGTGGAGTCTCAGCGAGGGCTCGGTCGTGCCCCTCTGTGGGAGAGAACAGGGAAGGCCAGTGTTAATGGAGGAACTGCACATCCAGGGCTACTGGTACACTTAGAGGCCAGGAGACTCCCCCAGGATCCCCCATCTGAGAGTGGCCTGTGGCCTGGCCACGGTGGGCACTTTGGAGTATAGTCAATGCTTGTCATTCTAGGTAGTGTTGCTCTATAAAGTCACCTTGAACGCTGATTTCGTGAATACTCAATCCTAGCTCCAAGGGAAATATTGGGCTAGGTTCCTGTGAGCCACTCACTAGTCACACTTTTGTCATGTGATGGGTATATGACCTTGCTTTAGGTGAGTTTCTTTTTTGGGGGTGGGGGGGCAGTACTGGGGTTTGAACTCAGGGCCTTGCACTTGAGAAGCAGGACCTCTACCACTTGAACCATGCCTCAAGCCTTATGGTTCTTCTTAAAGACACCTTAATGAATATGTATGATTGATTCATTAACATGGAAGCCTCATCACTTGTGCCTTAGCAAAGTATGCCTAACACAGTTCTCTCTGCACTGCACATCACAGCCATCTTGTGATTAAGAACCCTGGATACTGCTGGGTGCCAGTGACTCATGCCTATAATCTTAACTACTCCAGAGACAGAGATCAGGAGGATCATGGTTGGAAGCCAGCTTGGACAAATAGTTCACGAGACCCTAGAAAAAAACCCATCATGAAACAGGGCTGGTGGAGTGGCTCAAGGTGTAGGCCCTGAATTCACACCCCAGTGCTGGGAGGAAAAAAAAAAAGAAAAAAAGAACCCTGAACAGCTTTTTTCACCTTGCCTAGAAAGCCATTTTAAAGTGAAATCACCTGTCAAAAGCAAAAAACTTTCAAAACTGTGACACTAAACTGCAAAAAGGACACTGATTTCCAGTGAGAGCACAAACAAGAGGTTCCTCAGTTGGTGTCAAACACCACCACTCTGTGCCACAAAAGTGGTGGCTCACGCCACAAAAGTGCTGTGAGCGTTAATTCTGGGGTTATGAATAAATTTTAGTGAGTAGGTAAATTCACAAATATATAAAATCCACAAATAATGGCATTCAGTTATATATGACAGAGAGTAAAGTCATAGGTTTTGGAAATGACAAAACATTTCAGTCCTGACTCCTACCAAGTAGCTGGGATGATAGGTGCCGACCCACCACCCCCACAGATCATGAAATGGGATCTCATGAACTTTTTCTGTGGCTGTTCTTGAACTGAGATCATCCTGATCTCCACCTCTAGGATTACAGGTGCAAGCTAGTTTGCCCAGTCAGAGTGAATTTTAAATGCACATTTCTGAGCCTTTCTCCTGCAAATCTGATTCATCCAGTCTGGAGGTAAGCCAGGAATCTGCCTTTCTAAGTAGCTCCATCATGCGATTCCAGCTGCAGGTGACCAGGACAGCTCTAAGACAATTAGAATGTCTGGTTTGCATAGAGGAGGCTTACATGAGAGTTAAAGACCCAGGTGTCAAGATTGGAAGTCACAGGTTTCTTTTCCTGGCCCTGTCACTGATGGGCACTTTAAAACTGAAGAGCTCTCTCACTGTCTCTGAGACCCAGATTCGTCATTAGTTACAAAAAAAAAAAGGAAGTCAAGCCCCATGATCCTAAAGGGACCTTCCATTATTGAAAGTCAGTGAAATGTACCTGTAAATGGGAATAAAAAAAATATGTGTCCTGCTTGGTTCATATCACTGTTGTGAGGACTGGATGAAACAACAAGGGCAAAACTGTTTTTTAAATTACCAAGTGCCTTAGAAATAAAATAATCACTGAGAAAAGTAGATTTCACTAGTACAACAATTAGGAGATGTGTTCAGGAAGTGAACAGGTGGAATACACACTGAAGAAGAGTTGACAATTGCAGCAATGTATTTAAATAAAACAAAGATCATGATGGATACTTCTAAATACACCAAAAGCATTTCATCTAAGTACATAGAAATGTCCTCCAGATGCAAATCCTCATAGGTTATTTTTCACAGTTTAAAGAGAGAGAAGATAGAAAACAAGTTATCTGCATTGTGTTTGTATGTGTGTAGAAATATATAATTTGCATGGTATATAAAGTTGTTAGAATTTTTAAGACTCAAAGAACTAGATAAATAGAAGTCACAGTCCTATGCCATTAACTTTGCAATCCGCTCATGTCATTAACTTTGTAAGGATGTACTCAATCTTCCAGATAGTAAAGATGTGAGGACATTCTGTAAGCCGAACCTTATTGATTTTCAGTAAGTTCAGCATCTGTGGTTTTCACATTTCTCAAGTGTGGCTGAGTCTGTGTCCAGAATGAACCTCACTGTGGATAGTGCTCTGTAAATTTAAGGTCCCTGGATCTGGGAAGATTAGCCAAGGTCAGTAAGGAGAGAATCTTGAGAAAACCCCTCCATACTTGCACCAGAGCCCATGCAGGGCTCCATTCTCAGCAGGAGCTGACTCCAGAAGACATTACCATTGCAAAAATGTGGTTTTAATCAACAGTCCTGAGAAGGAAACAAATATTGAGCCCTTAACAAAAAAAAATATTGAGCCTCAATTTCTTGCTAGGTGCTGAGCAAACCGTTCTACCTACAGAGTTTATTTAATCCTCACAACACTTGCATATAAATATTACTACAGGCTAAGCATCCCTAATTCAAAAACCCAAATTCCAAAATGCTCCAAAGTCCAAAATATTTTGAACACCAATATGATGCCACAAGTGGAAAAAATCCACTCTTCCCCTCATACAACAGGTTGCAGTCAACACAGGTAAGCTAAAAATATTGTATAAAATTACCTTCAGGCCATGTATATAAAGTGCACATGAAACACTAATGAATTTCATGTTTATACTTGGGTTTGGTCCCCCAGGACATTTCATTATGAATATGCAACTATTCCAAAGCCTGGAAAAACTCAATAATCAAAACAGTACTGGTGTCAGGCATTTTGGATAAAAGATACTCAACCTGGATCCCCATTTCACAGATGAAGAAACTGAGACTCAGAAGTTATATAACCAGCATGAAGTCACTTCCTAAGATACAAATTCACTTCTGGTTCCCTGAACTTACATGTATGAGACACTCATGAGAAATTGCCATGAATTTATAAAAGGACTTGCAGCATTTGGGGCTCAACATATTCTTTATTATGGAAAGTTTCAAACATATATGAAAAGAAAATAAGTTTAATAAAATTCCATCTACTCACCAATTATCAAATCAAGGCCACACTTGCTTCTTCTACACTTCTACCTGATTCCACAACCACTTCCCCAACACTGGATTATTTTAACACAAAATGACATCATGTCATTTATCCATAAATATATCAATGTGTAGGATTTTATAGAACCCAATATCATTGTTATTCCCTTAAAATTTAATGACCCCTTAACATCAGCAAGTACTAAGTCAGGATTCACATTTCCTCAGTTGTCTCATAATTGATTTTCATGATTGTTTCAATCCATGAGATCCTTCTCTTGATCCAGCTAAGCATCCAATGAGGAACCATTGATGCTTTATACCCGTTCACACTTGTATCTTTGGTGGCCTTCAAATCATACTGTTCAACTGTCTTTGTTCTATTGCACAAGCTGAACTGGGTACCAAGGAACTTTTCTTTGTTTCCCTACTTCAGTCAGAACCATCTGGATATTGTCATCAAAGAAAAGCTCAGTTTTGGTCCTGTGACCAAGAAGCTCCTCACCTTACCCATACTCCCACTGGCAATGTTATTGTACCAATTCTTTCTCTTCATTTATATTAGGGAATCAGCTAACATTAATTTGGCATCCACTGGGTTTTAAGCTCACACACCCTGCTCTCAGGAAACTTCCAATTTGAAAAATATCAGCAAAGAACACCCATTATTTCTTGTGCAAAATAGAAAGGTCAAAGTGCAGCAAGCACTTATGAGGTCTGAAAGGCATGGGGAACAATACATGATAACATCTGAAGAGTCCTGACTGTGCTGTACCAGTGCATGGGCTTTCCAAAGTCACTTAACTCTGGGTGTCAGTTTCCACATCTAGAAAATACAGGTGCTAGAATGGTTCAGTGCCACCCCCTCAAGTTGTACAATGCCCAACTCTAGGAAGTGCCATTCATAACTGTTGTCACAGGAACACAACCTGTATAGCCATCCAATCTGTACAGCAACCTAATATCTGTTCTACTTGTTTCAGAGGAGTTATTGTAGAATTCAAAAATAAAAGGAAAATATATGAACTACATATATGAATTATTTCTTCACTCATAAGAGAAGTTGTTTAGCAATTCGTTAGAGAAAGATTGTATAAAACAAGCAAAAAGAAATAACATTCATGTATCAGACAATATGTCAATAGCTTTCCATACCTACATATAATATCTTACCCTAAATTGCTGAGACCGTACTAACCTAGCTAACAAGGCAACAGAGTCATGTTAAAATCATGACATGACTTTGCAGTGGTTTTCCTACATCTGTCCCTTCTTCTCCATTTATTTATAGGAATAAAATGCAATTCTCTAAGGACAGTGACCTAACCTTTATTTTTCTGACACGACTGGTCCTGAGAATCAGAACCCCACACTTGACATACAATGGAGGCTTAATGAGTCCTTGATATGAATAAATTGATCAAAATGCACTGAAAGGTGGGGAGGAGATGTTAAATTGAAAGATATGGAACAGTTAATATTCTACCATTTGAGGCCAGCAAAAGTGGCCAGTTTTTCTTGTTGTTGTTGTTGTTTTTGGTCTAAAAAGGTCCCCTTAACCCTGGGAGGTAGAGCATATGGCACATAGTCTGAGTTTCCCATGAGTGATAGTGAAGTATAATCAGTAAAGCCATACCCTTACTTCAATTCATATTTTAAACATTTTTAAATAGCCTAGTGCAGAACTGTCACTGCATGACAGAATCTGTAACCATGGCATTTTCCTCATGTAAACTCCCAAGGTCCATGTATCCATGTCCCCCACCCCACACACACACATACACACTTGAAGAAAGCTGCTCCCTATACACGAGCTAGCTGTCCATTTCTTCATCGGGAACCTGTAACAAACAAATCAAAGTAGAGGCCTGAAATTCCCAGTAGCTTTGAGCTCAAATTTCTCATGACTGAGTGCTCATGAAAAAGTCTCTTTGCTTATCTGAACATCACTCTAAAATAAGCTTAAACATAGCCGTTCTGCCTACTTTCAGGTCTATAAAAGGACCAGTGGTAGACAAGCTGTCATAAAGACCAAAGAGACAGTCAGCTTTACTATAAGATTTAACTATTCCTTTAGCCACTGTTGAAAATGCTGAATAAATTTCTTTATAAAGGAGCTTATCAAAATGTGAGCATCTGAGCTAAGCAAAGACAGGCAGCTACAAGATCCCAGGCCTCCTCGGCCTATGTTTGCAGCTAGGACTTTTTTAGGTCTTCTTGGCCAGTGATATCACTGGGTTGGTCCCATGGTCTGAGCTAAACTGCCTGATGACCTTGACTCTGTCAAGAGGTCCATGCTCTAAGGGTTCTCCTAAGCCTTTGAGGTGGAACCTATGGCAGTACAGCCCATGTTTGCCATGAAGGAAATGGTCTTTAGGAAATGCTTTCACAGAGTAGAGATGCTGGGGAAGAAAAGGTTGACTTCATGCAGAAAGAGATAGGAAGTTGGAGGATGGAAATATATTTGACTCTGGAGCGCATCACACATTCCCATCAAGAGTTAGAAAGGCACCAAAAGACTCGGTTCTCAGCAGCAAGTAACATGCTTACAGCTGTAACCCAGTCATACAAGCCTAGCCTTCACAGATGCCTGAAATCCCGCCTGCAGATTGGAATCCTTCTTGTGCCTCCCAACTGTCTCCTGTTTAACTGTGAGTGGTCCTGGAAGGAAAGAAAAAAAAAGAAGTCACCAATGACTGTGCCTTTGTCAGATCACTGGCCTTGTAGCTAGTGAAGAACATAGGGAAAGAGTGACCAATTGAAAGAAGAGACAAAAGGCAAAGGGGAGAAGAAGGGACCAGAATTTCTAAGGAAGGGCACTTTATGGGTGGGATCTTCTGGGATGGAGTGACTAGGGTTGGTTGACTTCCATCTAAAAAGTTTGGGAATGGGGACTGGATAGTGACTAACCACGCTTAGCTGACACACACCGCTGAGGTTTGACATATCCCTAAATTTCACATGTTGAAAACTTAATCCCCAGATCCATATGGTAATGGTATTTGAAAGATACACTTTAGGAGGTGTTTGGTTCGTGAAGGCATGGATTAATTCATGTCTTATTACAGGAGTGTGTATAAAAATGAGCCCCTGTCTCTTCTCTGTCTCTCCACATGGTACCCTCTGCCATGTTGTGATGCAAGGACCCCAAGATTCTAGAAGGGAAAGTTACATATGCTAATTTCCACAAGATGAAATGGCTGAGTTCATTAGCATTTTTTAAATTAACTCAGCCCTCTAGTACCATGATAAAGTCAATGTCTGTTTTTAAAAAATGCTAACAGGCAAAAGGATAACTCAGGTAATGTGATTGATTCTGATAGTATTACAATGCGGGTGGTGTAGAGGATAAAGATGTCATATGTCATAGTTTTAGCTAATCATTTAATAAAGAATCTCTTGAAATCTTCCTCTGACAGTTATTCAAATTAGCAGAGATATGGCTATTATCAGGGAGGTTTCATGCTTCTGAAGAACAAACTCAAACAAAGGAGAAGGAGAAAAGGCAGAGGCGGGGAGGAAACGGACACTGGAAGGTGCTATTGGAGCTCGCTGGCATCTGGTGTGGAGCCTTCATTAATGATCTAGGAGTGAATGACGCCTTAATGAAATTCATAGAGCGCGCTCCCTGGGGCAATATGAAGGACTGTGAGAACTGAGTCATGGACACAAGAGGAACCAGGAAATCAGTTCACTTGGACAGGAAGTAACACTGATGGCTTGCAAGTTAATGTGTTGGAGGAAAATAGATCAGAAAACACAAATATTTAATGTGAGGGAGAAAAATGGGAAATCAATAAGGCCTGAAAAGACCTAAAGGTGATAACACAGGCATTTTCAGTGTCATTGGGAAGCTCAAAGGCCCAGCAGGATGGGCAGCTAGGAGCCAGAGGTGCTTCCTGGACACAGAGCTGCTATTGTAATTTCCTTCCAAAACAAATGAACTCAGTTCAAAATAAAGCCACATAGTACAAATACACCCAGGTAGTTCTGGCATGAACAGTCAAGATGGGGGAAGTGGAGACACGATCTCTTAAAAGCAGGAGAAGAATCACAGAGCTGAGATCCCTCCCCCCCCAACCCACCCCCCACCCCCGCCACCTGGCCAAGCCTGGCAACATAAACAGAGAGGCTGGGCATTGGCCTGAACCTAAGCCCCTAATTTCAGCTCTGCCCTTACTAGTGAGCTTCCCTATTCCCATAGCTATTGAAATCTCTCCCTCACGCTTGCATGGCCCTGTGCCTGACATGTGATGCCATCAGTGCTCCATCAATGTTTCTTCCTCCCACAAACTCATTGGGGAGGCACACTGGTCCATCTCACAGCCCTTGGGTTTCAGTTCAGATCATCCAGTTATCCATGCCCTCTCTCCCCACTGAGAACCAGTCCAGAGCATCCTGGAAGGTTCCTGGCTTGTGCCCCTGTAACAGGTACTCCCAAGAAAGGAGGAAGAAAAGTTGTGCTAAAGGTGGATGGAAGAATCTTTCCAATCTTACTTTCACTTGAACACTTTGAAATCTTGCTCCCACCCCTAGCCTTGCATCCTCTGTCTATTTCTTGGCAATGCAAAGATTGGTTTATGTGAGCTGGGAAGGAACCAAAGGATCAATACCCACCCTGGGGAGGAGTAATGGCCAAGTGTGTATTTCAAGTAGAAACAATGAGGCCTAGAAAAGTTCCTACAGCTTGTTGTCATCCTGTAGAATGGTCAGCTGAAAGTTATCTAATATTCTGGCTAAGTTTTGTGAGCTAAAACAGAAAAGTGGCTGTTCATTACAAAATTATAAGGATAATGGGAAAAACAAATCTCCAGAATGTTTACTTGTCCTATATTTTTGTCTCCTGCTGAACATATTTGCCTAGATTGTTACAGTTACATAGAGAAAACACCCACAGGTGATCCATTGTCCTGTGTATATCCCTAGACCAAGTCTTCAGATAATTACCTCTGCTTTGGATCCCTTCATCCTACATTTCACCCCCTCTGGTCGCGTACCCATGGTCCTCCAATAGGGCCTTAGTTAACTCTGGAAAAAGCAAGGCTACCCCTTTGTGACATAACAGCAGTAGAAACAATCCAATCAAAAGGACCCCACCAAGGAAACAGCTGCTTGTGGGAGGAGACATGAGGATCTCAGGACTTCAACAATTCATTGGCTACAAAACAAACAAACAAGTATCCATCTTTGTTAAACTCATTGGTACACAGCAAGGCTTAATTCTCTTGACAACCCAAAATGACTCAGTACCCTTTGGCCCATATACTAGGTTTTCTTTTCATTGATTCATTCTTCTAAGTATGACTTCAAATCCCAGTTCTAATTTTCCCCAGAAATCCAGAGAAGTAACAAAAACAGCACTCAAGAAAGAATCTCATTTGAGAAAGCTGGTTATTTCAGAGTATAAGAAACTGGAAAATCAGGCTGGAAGGTCTTACCAGATCATCTGACCCAGCTCCCCTCATTCAAGGCCAAAGAAACCCAAGACTCAGAGAGGCTATGTGGCGTCCCCTAGCCACACAGTCAAGGACAACCAACACAATAAGAGCCTGAAGACCTGACTCCTCATTTTTCTGCAATGTCTTGCTAGATTTTTGAAAGACAAGAGTTATTCTGGCTAAAACTGGTAGATTACATCCTTCTGTGATTATCCCTACCTGAGGTAGAACCACATTGATTGGAATTTCTAGTCTTTCAGATCTGGTATCTCTTTTTCTTGTAAAATTTGGCCTCGAGTGCTGTGGAAAAGAGAAAATAAGAAGTTCCAACCCATTCTCTGGGCTTCAGCTGCTCACCTGAAATACATAACTCTCCTAATTTATGCCTTCCTTGTCAACTAGGTACATTATGAAAATCTGAGGCTGAAGTTATGTGTAGATGATATCTGATTAGATACTTTATTGATCAGGAACAGAAATTAAGATAGGTATTACACAGTTTACATAAAACCCTTTTGAAAGTCTTTGAAGCAGAGAGAGCTATACCTACTTCATTATCTAAGACTATTATTTCTATCTTGAGTAAAAAGCCATACCAATGTGAGGTGCCAGGTATAGGTCCTATGCAGAAGTTGATCACCAAAACACTCAGAACATTCCAGAGGTGACATCACAAAGCAATACGGTATTTTTCAGGGTTCATGGTTTCTTTCTGAGCATCACAGGTGGGAAAGGAGCATCTGACAGGCAGGAAGAGTTTGTGTTGGCTATGACAACAAGGCTGGTGAGGGTCAGTGTGACACATAATAGTCCAAACACTAGCTCCTGTTTGGTCACCCAGCTGCTGTTCCCATCCTCACTGCCAGGCCAAATTGAGACTCCCATCCTCTCTCCAGAGATAACATTTTTACTTGCCATTAGACCACTTAGGAAGGAAGAAAAACTGAACTCTGTCCAGACCCAGGAAGAAATATATTCTGAGTTATTTTCTGACACTATCTGTGTGTCCTCCAATTCAATTCCAATATGATACTAGCTTCCTAGAGTTAGTGCAGGTCCTAGAAGTCAGGATCTCAGTCCCACAAGACTGCCTTCACCTCAGATACCAATCCCAGGTCTGGGCCAGCTGTGAATCAGGGGTTCCCACAACCCCCTGCTTGAGTTCAATAGTCAAGTAGATGCACTCACAGAATTCAGGAAAGCACTTTACTTATGATTACAGCTTTATTGTGAGGGATACAATTCAGGAATAATTTCCTACTCTAGTCTCATGGCCCTCCCAGCATCTCCATGCATTCATCAACTAGGAAGCTCTCTGAACCCTATTGTCGATGGGGGTTTTGTGGAGATTTCATTACATGGGCATGGTTAATTAAATCATTGACCTTTGATAATTTAACTCTATCTCAAGGGGTACTGAAAATTTCAACTCTAATCACCTAGTTGGGTCCTCTGGCAACCATCTCCCCTCCAGAGTCACCTCATTAGCAAAAACTAAGGTGTGTTCCAAAGGAGCTTTTAGGGCAGGGGCGGGGGAAGTGGCTCAAGTGGTAGAGCACCTGCCTAAGCAAGCACAAAGCCCTGAGTTCAAACCTCAGTAGTACAAAAAAAAAAAAAAAGGTGCGTCTATCAGAAAATTCCAAGGAGGCTCTGTGTCAGGAACCAAAGACAAAGGCCAAATATATAGTTTATGATACTTCATGTAGAAGCTGCATTAAGACAGCAATGCCCAGTCCCTGTGGCCTCAAGTCTGTCAAATCCTCCACCTCTGGAGCCATTAGTGGGAGCTCTTTTGTGTATCTTAAGCCCCTTATTATCCAGAGATCCCTAGTTCTGCAATGTTATGCCATTTGGGGTGGGAAGAGAGTGGTACACTAGGGCGGGCAGATCCAGAGACACTGGCACTGCCCACGGAGTCTTCTACATTCAAGTTGTAAGCAAGCCTGGCTTTAAGAAAATTCAATATACAAAAATTCAAAGATGTGCCTACAGAAAAGTCAAGGTTTACATTATCACATTATCACATTATCAAAGAATTTTCATTTACAAAGAAACTTCTCTAATTTAAAAAGAACTTTTTAATTGTGGTTACAGTTTGCCATCTTCGCTGTGTTAAGTGTACAGGTCAATACTGCCGAGTATATCCACATCATTGTGCAGTAGTCTCTAGAACTTTTTCATCTTGTAAACCTGTAAGTCCCCCTCTGCCCTCCCCCAGCCCTTGGCACCACTCTCTATTTTCTGTTTTTATGATTTTTATTACATTAGATATCTCGAATGTAACTGCAGAGTGTTTGTCCTTCTGTGACTGGCCTATGTCATTTAGCCTGATGGCTTCAAGGCCCATCCATGTTGCAGCACATGGCAGGATTTCCTTCTTTTTAAAGGCTGAATAGTATTTCATCTATATCTATATTTATATATATTTAATTGTGATGTATATATATATATATATATATATATATGTGTGCTACATCTTGTTTAGTCATTCATCTCTCAATAAACACTTGGGTTGTTTCTACTTCTTGGCTGTTGTGAATAATACTACAATGTACCTGAGTGTGAAAATATCTCTCTAACATCCTGCTTTAAATTCATTTGGATATATACCCAGAAGTGGCATTGCTGGATCAAATGATAGTTCAATTTTTGGTTCTTGAGGAACCTCCACACTGTTTTCTATAGCAGCTGCACAACAGAAGAATTCCAATTTCTCCACATTATAGCCAACACTTGTTCTGTTTCTCCAAGGGTTTCAAAATTTAAGGGATTAACCCCCATATTGTCTGAAAACAGAATTCCATTTTCTTTCATACACACACCATAGAAGCATCTGTACATCCACTGGGTTCTAGTGAAAAGTGCTCCTAAAGCACAAAGGAAATGTGAAGACCACCAAAGAAAAATGGGGATATGAAAGGAGCTTCTTCATACAAAATTGCCTCTCTCCCTTGACTCAGTTGTGCAGCAGCTGACACACAATTGGTGCTTCTGTTGTGCAGTATCAATACAGGTTTGATATTGCAGCTGTGCTAGGGCTCATTTTTTACTTTTAAAGGGAGGAGTGTTTTTTGTTTTTTGTTTTGCGGTACTGGGGCTTGAACTCAGGGCCATCACCTTTTGCCACTCCACCAGCACTTTTTTTTGTGATCTTCTTGATCTCTGCCTCCTGAGTAGCTAAGATTACAAGCGTGAGCCGCTGGCACCCAGCAAGGGGGAGGAGCATTTTAACTTGGGCCGTCCCAGTGCCCATTAGCTGGGTTTCTTCCTCATGTGTAGGACATATGTATCCATAACCAATTACTGAGAATCATGCCCCAAATGGCTGTTATTACTCAGATTTGCACCATCATCAATCATCCACATTCCATGAACATCCACGATTGGCAGGCGCCACACAGAGCACAGACCTAGACATGCCTCATGGGCTTCAAATCTGGACAGACAGAGCAGAGACAAAGGAAACGGCAAGCATGCACCTAAGACTCCAAGCCTTCCCTCACTTGCCACTGGTTGATGAGGTATCATATGGGGAAATTCAATAAGCAGGAGGGCCCATCAGAGAGAGCCCAGGGCTCCCTGTCCTTCCCCAGAGGGTCACACAAACTGCAACTCTTGGTCTTGGAGTCAGATGCGGGCATAGCAGTTATGTTCTGACTTTCCTCACTTTCACATTTGTGGAGAAAGGAACAGGAGAGTGGATGGGTGTCGTAAGTTATCATGATGCCTGTCATCTGCAAATAGCACAATATGACAGGGAACATTGGTTATTTTTGCCACTTAGGGCAGAGAAAAATTCTAATATGGAGCACCCCAATATAGAGAGGCTTTGGGTCAAGCTGCCCCTGGGACAGGCTGACAGCCTTCTGAGGACATAGAAGGCAGTATCCAGGAAGAGCAAGAGATACCTTTGAGCCAACTGGACAACAAATAAATTCCAACTGTTAGAAAAGTCTGAGAGTAGAAGGAAGTAGAAAATTGAATAGCAGCTGTCAGGGCAGCTGGTTAAGGTGAATGGTTGTTATAAGATGAAAGAACCATTTGCATTTGCAGGATTACTGGTGGTAGATGTTGTAAATGGGTTGGCACATCCAAGCCCTAGTGATAATCCTGAGTTTAAATCTATTTGGTGAAATCAGAAAAGAGACCATGTGCAGGACTGGTCCTCACAAGTAACATCCACACCTGAAGGTCTCTAGAGCTGTGCTGAGTGCAATCCTTACAAATTTCTCCTTCTAAATCAAGGAGCTACTAGAAATTCCCCCAAAGTTCTGAATTTTTAAAATATAACGTGACGTGTTACTTCATCCAAAAGTGAGACTCTATGACATATAATGGAAAAAACATTCAGCCTCTAGAAAGTTTTCCTTTGGTTTGGAGAAGGTCAAAGAGGCAACTAGGGAGGTCTCTGCCCCCACACAAAGATGATAATTACTCTTGTCATCAAAGGAAGGGCAGAAGCCTCAGGAGTAGACTGGACATTTCCAAATGAGGCAGACAGTCTCCACTGCATTTCTGATGTACAGGGGAAAAATGGTAGGCTTTTATTATTAGGACTCTAATCATGATTTATACAATTATAAGTATTTAAATTCAACTAAAATGAAAAATCCCCAAATTAGATAAATGCGTAATCTCTTAAATGAATGTATATTGATTGCTCCTTAATGATAACAGAATGTTTACTTAAGAGTATGTGATCTCTGAATAGTGTCAAATTGATTAAAATATTTCTTCAAGAAGTAACAAGGGTCTCATTTGCTCAGCTTTGTTAGTGAGTTATAGTGTATCCAAGTCTCTGAATAATGGGTTCAAGATTAGACTTTCTCTTCCTAAGGAAGGACAAACTCATAGGGTGACCATATCAGAGGACAGGACTCATGGACACTGTCACAAGCGTAGAGAAGTGTCAGATGCTCCAAGTCAGATGCCTAGAACCTTGTTTCTAACCCCTGCTGGGTGACCTCTCACATTCATCCAAACCTCAGTTCTTGTAAGTTAAAGTTGTGGTGAGAACAAAATTAGACAACACAAGAGATAAGGGACTTCAAAACTATGGTGGGCGGGCTTTCCCATAGTGATGGTCAGAAGGACTTATTGATGGGAGAGTTTAAGTGAAGTGAAATCATTGTGAATAAACACCTGAGTGTCGTTTCTCAGCGAAGCACTATGCTTGTGGGTGGCGATGAGGAAAAGAAGACAGAAGAGTGCAGAACCATCCTTTGATCTCAAAAAGATTGTACCATAATTAGCTGATTTGGGAGGAGCAAGACAATAAGTCACTGAGTGCTTACTATGTGTCAGGCACTATCACAGCCCTTCAAGCATCATTCAATCTTCTCAAAAACTTTATAGGATCACATACTATAAAGTCCCACTTTACAGATGAGGAAACTGAGGCACCAAGTCAAGTAACTTGACTGAAGTTAGTAAGTAGCAGAACTAGAATATGAGCCCCAATTCCCTTTAATATTGCCTGTACTGTAGAGAGAAATAGGGGAGTTTGGGGCTTGGAGTCAGAAGCCCTGTGTTTGAATCATCCATAGTCTGTGTAGTTGTAGGCAAATCTCTTCACTCTTCACACTCAGTCTCCTCACCTGTAAAGCAAGTTAACATTTCTCACTACACAGTTTGTTATGATCATGGAATAAGTTGAGCATGAGTTCTTTGT